GACGCAGGCTCAGGCGGCTAGGGAAGTCAATACAGCTTCTCTCTGTCGGATTGGGCAAGAGACCGTGCAGGACATTGTATTTCGAACCATGGAAATCTTCCAGTTACTGAGGAACATGCAGGTGAGACCTAACTCTTTCTTTTTATGGTCCTCAGCTTCCCAAGGTTCTGCCACCAGCTGCCAGTATACAGGCACAGGAGGCAGCTGAGGACGTTCAAATATGCAACTCGATGAAACTGCTGTGAAAAGGGGGATTGATTGGAGAAGTGAATACTACTATTAACTTATTTACTTACTTCTCTACAGTAAAGATGGAGAAAGTTGGGAAATGCTGGATTGTTATCTGCCCCACAACAAATATGCTCTAAATACAATGAATATCTGTGTTTTCCATGATGAATAGTGAAGTCCATTTATATGCTGGTCATGTTTCTCTGGTTTTGTTAACATTTGAGGAGTAATTTTAGAGGAATTTCCATTGATCTTTGTCTGTAATATTTTCCACCTAGAACTTTTTGATGTTTCTTTGTGCTATTAAGGTGGATACAGCCCTTTTTTGTGGCTACTTACTGAGAAAGCATACAAACTTTTGTTGTGTTTCTCTGTTGAGACCAGACAATAATCAATCCCATTCCCTCTGTATTTTCAGGACTCTGGCAGTTTCCTTCTGTAGTTACTTTTGGTATAGGTGTATGTACCTTGAGTTTGCTAACTGTGAATTTACTTTGATTGTGTCTCTGAACTGTCACCTGGGCTTGAGACACAATATATAGTAGTGAGTAATTCTCAGGCAACAACAGTGCCATGCTTAAGCATTTTGAAGACATTCACTGGAAAGAGTTACAGAAGGATTGACAAGGACCAAAGTGTAGAATACAGGAAGCTATTATGACAGCAGTGTTTTGACACATCATATGAGCAGATAAAATACAGACTTTTGCTAATAAAGAAAATAGAAATTTCAGTGATTTCTGTGGGGATAGTGTGACTGTCTTATTTTAAAATGTACAAAACCCCTTCTGATTTATTTTAGCTTATGCATTTCATGTGACAGAAACTTCAGTGTAGTATTTTTAACTTTTTGTGGTTTTGGTCTTCTAAGTTACCAAATGGTGTTACTTACCATACTGGAACATATCAAGACAGACTGGGGAAGCTGCAGGAACATCTCCGTCAGCTATCAATACTCTTCAGAAAGCTGAGATTGGTCTATGACAAATGCAATGAAAACTGTGCTGGGCTCGATCCTGTTCCCATAGAAGTGAGTATCTTTAGTCTTGTGTAAATTACACATCAGAATAACCACTCTCTGCTTAGCATGTCGTCCATTCTGCTGAGTTGCAGGAGACTTGTAACAGGTTTAAATGAGACTGGGGTTATTCAGTGGACCGAATTCTGGCTGAAGTATTGTGAACCTTTCACATCAACATCATTTCTTACCAAGTGGGAGGGACCCAACTGTGAAATCAGACGTCATTTAAAATTTTGGCCTTTTTCCTCGGACCTCTTGGTACATTTACCAATTCGTTTCTGCTAGGAAGAAAAGGGTCAGGGCAAGTTTTCTTTTTTAAAGAAGTTATAGTGGGAAAAAGCCTGCTCTAAGCTCTCACCTGCCAGCCTGGCTCCCTGAGGAATAGGCATTATTCTCTTGCTCTGGCCATCAGCCTGTGCCATCAGTCAGTTCCCTCACTCAGCTACTCTTAACCTGCTGAGACACTGAACCAAACCTAAATGTGCAGTGGTGATGGTAGAGTTAACAGCATGAGACTTCCAGGAAGAAGGATTGGCCAAAGTTTTTCCTAATAAAAATGTTATTCCTAGTAAAATCAAAACTTAATATTCCCCCTCCCCTCCTCAAGTTGATTGTCATTCCTACTAATACTCTTAAGGCCTCTTTCTTGTTATGATTTGGGTTCCTGCTGCTCTATAGTAACCAGACCTGTGAAGTTTTTTAATTACTGACCTCTGGATTCTAAGGCAACTCTATTAGTGGGCTTCTGATTGTCCATTGAGTTTTACTCTTTTGATCATTATATTTTATATCTGAGTCTCTTCACTGAATAGCAATACAGAAATGAAGGAGTCCATTCTGTACTGTCCATTCCAGACTACTGGTTTACTTCTGTCAGCAGCCACTGCCATGTGTTTCAAAGAAAGGTATTTGGAAACCTTACAGCAAGCAAAGGAGAAAGATAACTTTCAAAGTTATCAAAGGGTTTTTTTGTTAAAAAGACAAAACCAAAACCCACTGACTTTTTCCATGTTTGTTGACTTGTGTGCAATAGCTGAATACTTCTGTCCCATAGAAAGCTTTTGATGTGTCTTGTTTTCACATACAGTTGGAATGATGTGAGGTTGTGGTTTTTTTTTTCTTTTCACAGTTTTTTCCTGTTACCAAGATGAAAAAGAATCTCCATAAAGAACATGAGTAGTTCCTTTGAGCTTTTTTAATGCAAGGTGTCACTGATACCTTATGCACAGCAGAGTTTTGTGCTGATTTCTTTTATCTATATAGTCTTTGCTGCTGTGAAGTAGAATGCCTGCCTCCTCGTGTTCTGTAGTTAGGGCAAGCTTTCTGTTGACCAGCATAGTAAGGCATGAGATAACTGTGAAGCAGATATGGGACAGAATTCTCTAGTTGATTAAATTCCCTGCTTCATCTGTGTGTTAGGTGTAATTCTTTAGTGTGGGAGTTTTTTAAAGGAAATGTTCTAAAGTGAAAGAGAAGTTTTATCCAGGAGTGCTTAGCAGCCACACTATGGTATGCAAATGTAGTAAGGTGTTAACCTTTATTGTGTTTTTATGTCAGAGGTGAATGGAATAGTTTTTGTCCATTTTGATAAGCTTTATAAGAATAGTCCACAAAAATTTTTGTTTAGAAGGAAATTAAATTTTCAGTGAGTTGAATCAAAGTGTTCCATCCAAACGCTGAAGGGCACTGCTGAATGCTTCACAGTATTTCACCCTGAACAAAGTAACAAGTTAATACACATGAAATAAGTGACTTGCTCCCAGACTTTTAAACAAATGTATTCTTCCTCATTTGCATCAATTACTAGTCTTTCATTTGTCTGCAATGTGTATGTGAACAAGGAGGTAATTTTGCTATCAACTTTTGCTTTTCTCAGTTCAGGACAGGAAAATCAACAGTAGACTGTAGACTTTGTAGGTGTATGTTGTGTATAAAGTATCACAGCTTACAGTTATTTTTCACAGAATCACAGAATATTAGGG